AAAATATATAGAAAAAAAAAAATTAGCCGGGCATGGTGGCACATGCCTGTAGTCCCAGCTACTTGGGAGGCTGAGGCAGAAGGATTGTTTGAGCCCAGGAATTTGAGGTTGCTGTGAGCTAGACTGATGCCAGGGCACTCTAGCCGGGGCAAAAGAATGAGACTCTGTCTCAAAAAAATAAAAAAAAATAAAAATAAAAATTTACCCAAAGTCACAAAGCTAGTCAATAAAGGAGCCAGGATTCCATCTGAGATATGTCTAATTCCAAAGCCTTCACTACCAACTAAACTAGTAGAACTGAAAAGTAAGTGTATTTTGATAAAATAAATTTAATGGCTTTCGAATAAAGTAATGTACATAAAATATAAATATTGGCATAATAAATATTTTAGCTGCTAAAAATTGTGCACTTTGAAGATTAAAGCTATTCTGAAAATCCAGCTAATTGAAAATATTAGAATTACATCATTAAATGTCTAGAATCAATAATTCAGTTGAACAAGAATCAAATCACACTTGAGCCTTAGAAAATCCTAAGTTTAACAAACATGAAATGTCAAAAATAAATGCTTTATTTTTTTTTTTTAGCACCACACGTACTCACCATCAAATTGGCATTAACTGATCGACACTTAAGTGCACATATAAGAATAACATTTATTGGATGTCGGGCAGGGGGGAGGGGAGTGGGCGGAGGAGGGAAAGGTATATGGACACACAAAGAGTGGTGATGCGCACCATCCAGGGGATGGACGCTTGAAGCTTGGACTTGGGGAGGGAGGGGGTCAAGGGCAACATATGTAACCTAAACATCTGTACCCCCATAATATGCTAAAAAAAAAATAAAAATATAAATAAATAAATAAATGCTTTATTTTTTTAAAATAAACTGTTATCTCCCAAACAACTATCTAGAACATGTTTCCTACCACAAAGCCAGTTCAAGAGTTGAAGAAAATGTCATATATACTATATGCTTAAAAAGCGAGCAACAAATAAAGAACAGTCCTTTACAAGGTTGAAACATCACTGTAACTAAGTATACTAAGAAAAAGCCTTCATGCTTCAGTTTTCCAATGTGTGCAAAGTAAGGATAAAATTTTCTCATGCACTTACCTCCAAGGTTTTAACACTATCTGAAAACACTAACAAAACAATTCTGCAAATGTTTTTCTTTACCTCCCACCTTCACCTGTTTATATCCTGTCCTGTGTTTCACATCCCAACTCTTCTACCCATTATTGTGTATTAATTAGTACCCAATTAAGGGACAAAAACTCAAATGCCTAGTTATAAAAGTCACCCAACTGGGGAGAATGACAAAATTGAGAGAGTCTTGCCAAATCAACAGCCTTAATTCCAATATAGGTAAGAGCTGCTCTTCAAGGGAAGCCAGAAATCTGTATTTCTACAATAAATCTTTTATTTTTTTTGTTGTCAAGTAATTCAATTAAAGCCCACAAACATGGAGATTAAAAACACAAAAATTATACCATAAATTTTAGCTACCAGAATGCCTACAATTACAAGATGAGTAATACCAAGTTTTCAGGAGAATGTGGAACAACTGGAACTCTCACACACTTCTGGAAGGAATGTATAAATGTGTTACAATCGTTTCAGAAACCTGTTTGACATCATTTACTAAAACTGAACATGTACATACCCTATTATGCTATGCATACCCTATTATGACCCAGCAATTCCACTCCTAGGTGATCCAACAGAAAAATGTAGACTTGCTCACCAAAAAACATGTACAAAAATTCTTAGTAGACAAAAACTGAAAACAACACAAATAAAACAAAATGTGGTATATTCACACAATATAACACCGTACAGAAATGAGACTAAAAGACTACCCTACACACATGAATGGATCTCACAAACACATTGAAAGCAGCCCACAGAGAGAGTACATACTACATGACTCCATTGCTATAAAGTTCAAAAAGCATAAGAAAAGTACAAAATTAGTCTGTTGTGTTAGAAATTAGGACAGTAGTTACCGGTGGGAAAGGGTGGTGACTGGGAGGCGGCAAGAGCAGGACTTCTGTAGGTGCTGATTATGTTTGTTTTTTTTGTTTTTTTTTTTTTATTGAGACAGAATCTCACTCTGTTGTCCGGGCTAGGGTGTCATGGCATCAGCCTAGCTCACAGCAACCTCAAACTCCTGGGCTCAAGCAATCCTTCTGCCTCACCTCCCGAGTAGCTGGGACTACAG